TTTGATGTGTACAAGTAAACATTTAAACTTGTATAAAGTTGAACAAATAGACACACACGTTTTACTTGACATCCTACATGGAAATTTGAGTCATATGTAGTGTCCTATATGTATTATGTCACGTAGGACTCATGTGTCTACTTTTTCAATTTTATAATACAAGTTTAACTAATTAAGTGTCTACTTGTGTACATCTAAAGTTGAAAGACATAAATCTAAAATAAGGTCAAGTTAAAGGGCATATTTATGTATTATGCCGTAGATTATTAATTATTTACGTATTATTTTATAGGATTAGAAAAAAGGTAACAATAATACTTTTGCAAGTTTAGAAAAAAATATAGGACTTTATTTATTTTTGTGGTGAACTTTTCATAGGTAGAGATTTGATTTGTGGAAAAAAATTAAATTTATTTTTCTTGATATTTTTAATTATTTTTAATTTAGTATATCAGTAGTATATCAATATTTAACTAAAGAAACATGAGAAAATTGAAATTTTTTACGCTAAATAGAAATTAATAGAAAAAATTGTGCATTGTAGCAAACTATGAATTCAAAATGAATGTTATAGCTACAATTTCATTTAATTCCAATTCACATCAAAACTTCTTGTCATTCGCCTCTCTCCCCTTTCTCTGGATCTCGCTCACCACTCTCCTCCTTTTCAGTCATCTCTCCCTTACCTCTATCACTTTATACAAACACAAAATTTATGTTTGTGTTTGTATAAAGCGAGAGATATTGTACATAAAAATATAAATACATATCTCTCTGTCCTATACACTTATAATTAATTATACAAATCTTTCCCTGCCCAGTTCTCTTTTGTTTTCTCTCTCTCGCTTTATACAAACACAAATTATACAAAATACAATGAATATATAATTTGTGTTTGTATAAAGTGAGAGAGAGATTTTATATACAAATACAAATGTTTTAACTCAATTCAATCGTATACGAATTCAAATTTTATGCAGATATACAAACAAAATCATTGATACATATACATTGTATAGTTACATATATACAATTATCTAACTGATTTACATATACAATTCACCTCTCTCCACTCTTTGCCCTCTCTCACTCACCTCTCTCTTCTCTCTCCCAATCTCGCTAGCCACTCTAGCCTAACACAGAGAACATATACATACACAAACACAATTTTCATAGACACATATGAATTAGCGCCCAATTTATATAAATTGCCGCGATTTACACAAATCAGATGCTCTATGACAAACATAATTTGATTATGGAGCACAAATAACAAAACTGTAACTATAAAACACTAATATAATTTTTATCTTTACCATTCCTAAAATTTACTCAAATTAATAAGCTTGCATTCCAATTGGCAACTAATTTGACATATATCTGTTTGGCACGTTTAGTTATGGGATAGTCACACATGATGTCCCGTCAGGACATTAATGTTCGTGTTTGGCCTTTATAACTAGCTAGATTACATGACAAAAATGAAGAAAAAGTAACTTGGATATAAATTATTCAAATATCTTTTAGGCCAAAAAGATTTGGAACCATAAAATAATATTTTGTGTGGTAGGGAAGAGATATTTGATTCCTCTTCATATTGTGTGGTCCAATTTAGGCCGAAACAAAAATGGCAGAAATATTTGATCAAAGATCATGTATGGTTGGTTGATAGAATTGTGAATACCATATATACTAATTCTATTTATATTTTTAAATAATTACGTATTTTATCATTAATTAAGAGTATTTTCCTATCATATATTAAAAAAATACAACTAGATAGATGTATTTTTGTTACTAAATGCACTAAAATCGAGAAAGAGGCAAGCAAGAATATGTAGAGGAAAGCGAGCGAGATAGTTATGTAGCCCAGATATATATGAATCACACTAGATACATGTCTATATATACATCTAGTGTGATTCACATGTATCTGTGATACTAGATACGTAGGAGAATGGTGAGTGAGACGGGAGGAGGGTGAGTGAGATTTGTTATGTATCTCAGATACATGCAAATTTACTTGAATATAGTGTATCTAAAATAAATTATAACTAATTTTAACTTCATGTATCTCAAGATACATGTATATATCTTGACATATTAAGACGCATCAAATTTATGTAATATTCATAATATTATAAATTAATATGTATTTAAATAATTAGATTCTAAACAACTGAGATTTATGTAAGTTTCCAACTTAATTTCACAACGTCAGTAATGGTGAAGTTGAAGGAATTTAAATGAGTACATGATATTGTTTATGAACACTCAAATTTAAAAACTTAGAATAGATAAAAAGGAAAAGGCTCAAATATGCCATCGAACTTTGAGAAAATACTCATCTACGTCATCCGTTAAGAGTTTAGTTCATCTATGTCATTTCGTTTGAGAAAAGACTCATTTATGCCATTATTAGTAAACTAAAAATATTTTCCGTTTTGCAAAACTATTTTGTACACGTGGTCATTTATTATTAGGTCACATCATTAATTAAATCATTTTTTTAAAGGAAAAAAGTTCAAATACGCCATCGAACTTTGAGAAAAGGTTCATCTTCGTTAAAAGTTTGACTCATCTATGTCATTTCAATTAATAAATAGTGCACAAATGAGGATGTTCTAAAATAAAAATAACATAAATGAACCAAACTCTTAACGAATGACATATTTGGGTCTTTTCTCCCTAGATAAAAGGATAATTATATTCTATTATGGGATATTTTGGAATCCTCAAATTTTGCCAATTGATTTACTCGCATGAGAACGTCTGTTTTGGCTTTCTCGTACTTCATTGGGATATTTTGGCTTTCTCGTACTTCATGCGGTCCCATCGGATGATGCATTAATATCTACTTCTTCTGTCATGTTGAGTTTTTTGAAAGTTAATTTGATTAATTTTCAAAGTGTAATTAGATTACATTACTTCCATTTTCAAACAAAACATTTAGATTCAAAAACTATACAAAAAGTACTATAAATTACAATTTTCTGCATATCAATATGATAAAAAATACATCGTAAAATATTAGTCAAAATTCTTATCGTCTGACACTAAAAAGGAAACTATGACAATTAAAAGTGGACGTAGGAAATATTATTCTAGGTACATATTGGCTTTTACACAGATTAAAAATAGAGAGGGTAGATTACTTGAAATAATCTATAGGTAAGCAATTAGATGTAGATATTTGATTCAACAGTTTTATAACTAGTGATTCTATTTATTTGAGACAATAGAGATTAGAGTGGATGAATTGGCTTAAATCTCTAGAATGCTTTTTAGGTGTAACGATTTGGTTGTTATGGTAATTCTTCACAAAAAAAAAAAAAAATTGTTGAATTTTATTGATTTTTTTTAAAAAAAATTTATTGATGATAGAAGGCAATGTGAATCTATTTAAATTTTAAAGGTTTAAGTTGAATCTCATAATTGAAAATTTGTTGTGATGTATATGAGAAGGACTTGCATGGAAGCCTGAAAGGAAGCATCTTCTTATCATTTTTACAAAAAAAATAATTATTGAACGCAATTGATAATTATAAAATCTATTAGCTACTTGTTACAGTAAAGACAGTAATATAGACAACCAAATTTGGAGAAAAATGACATAAACCTTTAAAAATACTTTCAATATACGAAATTAAAAAAAAAAAGTGCCTTTATTCCGGTAAACATAATTAGTATTAGTTAGTTTCTGAAATAGATAAATGTCAACAACACACCCTAAATTATCTTTTTTTTTTTTTTTAGTTGCATACCTAAATTATCACTTATTAGTTTGAGAAACACATCTTTCTTTTGTATAATACTCTCATCATGGTGTGTAATACACATTCTCTTTTATTTAAAAAAATTGTCACATCACACTCCACATGGACGAAACATTTTGCCTTGACAAAATTAAATAAATTATTAGTATTAGTTAAAATTAAAGATTAAAAATTATTATCCCAAAATAATAATATTTTTTAGAAAATAAAATGTAAAATATTTTTCTTACCCCTTACTCCATCACTTCCTCTCACCGTAACCCCCCTCCCCATTTTTATGTTTTTTTTGTTTAAATTTCTTTTATAGCCCCCCACCCCCAAAAATACTAATTTAGATATTATTTTATTTTTAAAAAAATAAAATTGCCCACTCCACCTAACCCTTCCCTTTCAATATTTTTTTTCTCATTTTGTGTTAGATATATACACATTGAAAATATTTTTTACTTGTCACCGTGAGATTTTTTTAAAATAATTTTTTTACTTATGTTAATTCGGTACACAAGTAGAAAAAATTATAAAAATATATGTACATATCCAACACAAAATGAGAAAAATGTCAAAAATAAAAATAAGTTAGGAGCGGAGGGTTAATAAGATAGGGTGAAAAAAATAGGATGGGGTAGAATTTTTATTTTTGAAAAATTAAATAATATCAATTTTATATTTTTATTGGGAATGAGTGAGTGGTTTGGGGAGGGGGGGGTGAAGTATGAATTTTTTAAAATATTTTATAAAAGAAATTTAAAAGAAAATAAAAGGACGGGGTTTGTCGGGGGGGGGGGGGGAGGGTTAAGGGGAGGAGGTGGTGGAGTGAGGTAATATTTTTAATTCATATTAATAGTTTATTATTAATTTTTGAGGTGAAATATTTTATCCATATGGAATGTCATGTGTCAAAGTTTTTTCAAATAAAAGAAAGAGTGCAATACACACAATTAATTATGTATGAAACTCATACTCTCAATAGTTTATGTATGAAACTCAAAAAAAAAAGAAATAATTAAAATGTATTTTTGACACTTTATCTCTTTCTAAAATAATACAAATTAAAAAGCACTCGAGAGAAAACGTGGCCGGGCTTAGAGCACGAGGATTTTCCTCCAATTTTTTTGTTACAGAAAGCGTGACCTGATTTTGGGCATTCTATAAATAATATAATAAACGAGATTGATATTAAATGCAATAAATTAAACACTACTCTACCCTTTCTCTTCTATTATCATGTTATTGTCTACAGCTCATGCTAAGACTCATCATGTCATGCCCAAAATACCAAAAGATGGGACGACGATGACGGATTTAATCCGTTCAATTGCCACTGATCAGAAGCATGAAGCTGGCCAGCCATTTTATATACTCGATTTATCCACAATTGAGAGGCTTATGGACAAATGGAACCATTCTTTTCCCAATGTAAAACCTTTTTATGCTGTCAAATGCAACAATGAACCTGCACTTCTTACTAAACTAGCCAACTTGGGTGCTAATTTTGATTGTGCTAGCTTACTCGAGATTGACACTGTCTTAAATCTCGGAATTAGCCCAAATCAAATCATATTTGCTAATCCGTGTAAGGCTATTTCCCATATCAAACATGCAGCCGCTGTTGGGGTCAATTTCACTACTTTTGATTCTAAGCTTGAAGTTGACAAGATCAAAAAATGGCACCCACAATGCCGTTTGTTGCTCCGAATCAAAGCCCCTAGTGACAGCGGCTCCTTACGCCCCCTCGGCAAAAAATTCGGAGCACTGCCCGAAGAAATTGAATCCCTCCTGCATTACGCTTGCAATGTGGCTGGTTTAAAAGTTGTAGGTGTGTCATTTCACGTTGGATCTATAGCACAAGATCCCACCATTTATCGCGAGGCGATTGCCAATGCAAGGGCCGTGTTTGATGTAGCTGATTATCTCGGAATTCCTAAAATGCAAATTTTAAATATTGGTGGTGGGTTTAGATCCACCCCGTTGTTCGAGGAAATAGCTAGTGTAGTAAATGAAGCAGTCCAAGATTTTTTCCCCGACCCTAATTTAAAAATAATCGCGGAGCCTGGGCGATTCTTTCCTGAAACGGCTTTTACTTTAGTCACACATGTGATTGGCAAAAGAGCTAGAGGTGAGAAAATAGAGTATTGGATTGACGAAGGGATTTATGGATCGTTTAGGCCAACACTGTACAACAGTTGCTTTGTGGGTATTAAGCCAATTTCAATGAAAGAATGTTGTGATATACGCGAATCGACGATTTACGGACCAAGTTGTGACTCCCTTGATGCAGTGGCTGTGGACATAAAATTGCCGGAGCTTGAATTGGATGATTTGATAGTGTTCTATGACATGGGTGCATACTCAAAATGTGCAGGAACAAAGTTTAATGGATTTGATATGTTATCGACACCTACCTATATTGTTAGCACCAATTCTACCTAGAATTATATATGTCCAGAACAAAGAAAGAGTTGGATCAGCTAGCTATGCTTGTTATTTTCTTAATTTGTTTCCAATAATTAATTAGTTGCTGTATTTGTATTATTGTGAGATATAAGCACATGTCTATTTTATTACAAGCTTTCGAAATTATACTTTATTGTCCTCTGATATTATTCAAGCTTTCCTAATAGCTATTACTGCATCCATTCTTCTTTTTCAAAAAAATAGAAGGGGACACATTCTCTTGAAAAGAGTAAGTTTTAGATACGTCATCTCGTTCTTTTCCTTGATCTCCTCTTTTGTTTTGGCTGATTTTTTCTCTTTAGTCATCCTTCATAATTATTGCTTCAAGCTACTCAACTCTACAATAATATATCTAGTGTAATCTCGTTATTAGAGTTTGGAGAAGGTGAAGTACTTACATCTACCTCTTGTAGAAATAGAATTGAGTAAATAAAATTCTAATCAGAGGTGGATCAGAGTAGAATTTGTGATTTATATATGAGTTCTTAGATAACGATCTCAAGCTAATATATTGAAGAAATTAGATTCGAATCATCCACGTGGATCAATTCAAATTCATATATATTATAAATATTTAAGTATCTTTTGTCTGTTACATAAGCAGAAACTTATGTGTTCTTCAAGAGAAACAAAATGATAAAAAATATTTTCTTCTTCAAATCCTGTAAAGATTCTTGTGAAGATTTTTCTTCAAAATCAAGAACAAAACTTCTGTAATATGTATGCGACTATAGCCTGTGAATATGATAATTATGATTAATTTGCATTTGTCATTTCATTCACATCATAAATATCAAAATGCTCTGAATCTTGATATTTTGTTTGTACATACCTTTAATTGATAACTTTGACAATTCTACTTTTGGTCATTCTATTGTAAAGTGAATATATATATATATATATATATATATATATATATATATATATATATATATTTGTGAATGTCACGTCATTCACAACATAAATCATATGCTTTGAACCCTGATATTTTTCTTCAATTCATGTCTATCATTCCCTGAATTAAAAATATCTTCTTCTTCTGGCGCATGTGTGCTTTTATAGTTGTGGTGTTGCTCATTGTACTGTTTAGCTAAACACGATATTGGGATGTTATTTCACTGTGTAAACTCTCTGCCCCACCAAAATACTTTTTATGTTTCGTTTCTTGAGAATCAAAAATCTTTGATCAATAAAATATATCTTTTCACTTTACTATTGATATGAGCCAATCAAATTGCAACTTATAATACTTTTCGTATAGTTTTAAGATATCTTAATTTTAATTTTAAAATGTTAAGCTTATCTATCTGATCTAATTTAACTCTGAAGATCAATGAACATGACAGGTTTATACAGCTGTGATTTCTTGACAAACATTCTTTCAAGTATAGAGAAAAACAATAGCAAAGTAAAAAACGAAACAAGAGATATTTGGTTGTATTTAGATAACATAAAAGTGGCATCATTAGAGAGTTGAAACACTGTGAAGAAAGTTACAATGAGTATGATACAGAACAACTGCTGCACGATCAGTTGATAGGAAAAATTGCAGCTGCGTGTTTTTTGGCTGCAAACTCAGTTTCGTGTGCAGCTGAAAAATATGAAAGGAAACCAAAAGAATGTTTGACAAAGCTAAAAAGTTGAAGAGTGTCGCGGACCTCCTGAATTAGATTATCTGCAGACCTAAGACTCCTAAACAGCCATTGGTTAATAAATAGAAATGCTGTGCAGAACACCAGAACTTCTGGCTGGTCAGGAGGAAACTGTACCAAAAAAGTGCTATGAACACACGCGGACCCTTTGAGATTCTCTCTCTTCTAAAACAGCTCCTGATGACTTGCCATCCCTCTCTGCTAAACATCTTTTGTATGGTACAAATCCCTTGCTCTTGGTTGTACATTTGGACTCAACTGTTTCAGAACTCCTGTTTCCATCGTCAACTTCACTGGCTGAGCCAATGCTTGAACCAGTCGATGATCCCTCTCTTTGAGATTCTTCATCTTTTGGTCTCTGACAATGAGCAGCAGTCTCCATGGCTGTTTGGCCACACGATGAGATAGATCGATATATGAGATCTTGGTACCAGGACCACCAAGAAACTGTAGCTGCAGGGAAGGCTGCAGTACTCTCAGGATTGTTTTCAAGCATGTTTTGTGACAACCAAGAAGCTGGTGGAATCATATTCCCTGGAACCATTGCAAGTATAAACGGTGAATTTGCTTGGTTAGCTTGGAATGCATGAAGTACATCATCATTGCTGATCTCGATTTCCTTTTCTGCGTTGTATAGAGCTGGCGGAGCAAGGTTATTGGCATCTGGTACGAAAACCGTCTTTCCAAACAGCTTGATACTTGCTGAAGGTGGTTCAACAGCTAGCTTTTCACCATTACACGAATTCTCCATATGAACTATATCACATTCCTGGAAAAAGGCGCATACACACCTGAGGTAAGTCATAAGTGTACAGCCTAAATAGCACTGCAAAGCAGATAGATCAAACTTAATGAAGAAATACCATGAACTCAGAATTGGTAATCGGGCTGGTACTAGCAGCTACTGGTTTTAATGCAACATGGATTTCCTCCACGGTGTTGGAGTTTGAGCTCATACTTTCATCATCATTCTCCGCAGAAATTACATTTGCAGTGTGTGCATCCGTAGTACAAGAGACTGGTGAAAAGCGAGAGTTCTGCTGCTCAGCAATTGAATATTCAGCAGCACCTAAACCAATTGCTGGCAAAACTGAATCTGGAGAACAACTGTCCCTTCCTGATGCATTTGGGGAAGGAGACCTTTCAGGCTGACCTGAAACTGCCTTGTTAGCTACAGAAGAATCAGCTATCTTGCGAGGGTATGGATGCAGAGGTTTCTTCTTTGGCCGAGGAGGAGGTATGTCAATCGCATTTAGGGATTCATCACCATCATTCCCTGAATCTCGAGCAATCTAAAATGTAGATTAAAAATTCAATGCTTTAGCCACTGACTACCCAGGCATCTCTGCCTTAATTCGGACAGGATGGAGAATCAAGCAAACTTCCTATAATTTGTCACAATCTAGGTACCAACCTTGGCGAAAAATTTCTGTGCATGACTACGAATCTGAATTGCTGTTTTGCTTCCAACATATTCTGCATGATTAAAGAGACATGTTAGAAACTTCTATTTAGATTGAGTGCCCGTTTGGATCGACTTATTTTAGGTGTTTTTAAGCCAAAATAGCTTTTAAGCAGTTTTGAAGTGTTTGGGTAAAGTTAAAAAGTGCTTATAAGCACTTATTTTAAAGTCAAAATAACAAAAATAAGCCAAAAGTCATAAGTTAGAAATCCTAACTTATGGCTTTTGGCTTATAAGTCATAAGCCAAAAGCCAATCCAAACAGGCCCTGAACCACATAAATGGGAGGGGGGGTCAGAAGAAGAATGGACCTTTTATCGGGAACGAACAACCTTATACCACACTTACCTTCTATTTGGCGCCAAGCACGGCCATACAACTTTAAGGCTTCAAGAAATCTCTGGTGTTCTTCCTCTGTCCATTTCTCTCTCTGTTTTGTAATGGTATAAGGCTTCCTAGCCTGTTGCACATGAGATTAAGTGATTCAATTAAGCACCAATCGAGCTATATGCTATCTTACCTATCTCATATGAACTGAAGGAAAATAACTTGGAATACATTCATGGGAGGGATGTTGACCTTAAGCACATTTTCATTGGCAAGACAAGTCGGGGCCTTTCCCTGAGTAGCCACAGTTTCCAACTTTGAGCTAATCATGGATGAGGCACCTTGCTGAGCCCCCTCAACTTGATTCTGTGGAATTGTGAAGAAAGCATACTTCATAAGAATATAATCCAAGTAAAACTCAATTAAAATGAAATAAAGTGCCACAATGAAAACCCAGGGCACAGGCTTCCTCCCTATTCAGCAGACAGAATTCTAGCTCAAATCGCTCTCATTAAATCGTGCTTATGATTCCAATTAACATCAACTGCTCTGTGGTACTAACATTCTATATTTTCACCCCCATTTCTATAAGCCATATGAACTTTGACAACCATCAGTTAACCTTTTCTCCCCAAACATAATTAATAGTAGTATTGTTTTTAAAACCAGACAGAGAGATAAAAGAACAACTACTACCACCGATAGCATCCCAAGGAGCACGCGAGAAGGAAAAAATGAAAGAGTTGGAAAGGCCTCGTAAATTTACTTCCATGTGCTTGACGTCATTGGAAAAGGATAACTAAGTAGCCAAGTGGAAGAAATGAGACTGAAGCATAGCTTCAAGCTTCTTGAAGCCATGGACTCACAAGGCAGAAGCTGCAGGATTCAAGACTCGAAATTGAATTTGTGGTCTCAAGCTTTGCCTTAAGGATTTTCCCACTCACTGAACTGTTAAACCATAGCCTCAAATTGGCAATATATTCAGTTATTTGAAGGCAAGGAGTTTTATGACACACTTCCCAAGGGGACTATAAATTAGGGGAAGAGCTAGCACCTTGATTACGGGTTCGGTAAAACCCAGTAGCTTTAGCATAAACTCTATATTTGTGTCAAAAAAATTCACTTAATATGTCTAAACAATTTGTCAAGAACCCAATAACTTTCTTTTTTAGAATCTAGAATCCATAAACTCAAAATCCTAGCTCCACCTCTGCTATAACTTAGAACCCTAGAATCATTGTTCATTAACTTTGACTTTTGAGAAACTTAGCCTAAGTTTAACTGTCAACGACAAAAATAACAATTATGATACCAAAGATATTGTCCCTCTTCCTTAATAGATGCCCTCAAGTAGCATGTTTCTGATTATCCATTTGATCTTAGTGCTACATTCTTTGAGTTTGAATGACCATTGGTTACAACAATTCAAGTATGTTATCCAAATATCTGTGTTGTACCGCTAATCCGTAGGCTAACAATGTCTCTATTTCAAATTAGCTAGGTTATCGCACTTCATACAAAGGCAGATCCAAGATATAATACTTTTGGTTTCAACCTTTAAAATTCTTAGTATTGAACTCATTGTGTTTAGGGGTTACACTGGGTTTGTTGTTGTTGTTGTTGAACTCATTGTGTTTTAAAAGAACTATGAGTTCAGATCTACTACTTATTGCAATTCTAGGGGATTTTTTACACATAAATCTATCATCCGCATCGAAAATACAGAGTTCATATGAACCCACAGCTAAATAGCTGCATCCGCCCCCGGCATCATGTATAGCATCGTG